CTACACGCGTTTTAGGCGCTTTTTAGATTGGACATTTGGGGGGGGCATTGCCCCCCCTGCCCTCCCCGGTGTCGACGCCCCTGCTTACGCCCCCGCGCGCTGCGGGTTTGCCTACGCTCGACTCTGCAGGGGCTCCGTGGTTGTAGAGAGATGATAGGGCTGGCGAAGAGTGTCCGCTTTCACTCGTTCCTTCTCGCCCCGCGGTAGAGGGGCGCTAGCGAGGGACCCGTTTGTTTGGTGTTTGCTCTTTTGCGGGGGGGGGGGGGGCACTGTTTCTGGTCGCACATCTGTACGGAATGAGTGCCAAATCGACTTGCTTATTCCACGTCATTACTTCATCCTCAATAACGGGTATCGGGCGGTTATCAGAGGTACGACACGTCGCAGTGTTGCGGGTTGCGGGTGTGCAAGATTTTATTTCTTTTTTTTTTGGGGGGGGGGGGGGTAGCCTTGGAGGTCCTGCTTCACCCCCTCTCAACACCACCTGTTGCATTTGAGCCGCGTCTGGGTAACAGCCCAACAATGAACACCTTGCTCTCTGCGAGTAGTCCGCTCCGCGCGCTCGCGCCGCCCTCGTAAAAAAAATAGTACTCAATTTTAAAACTAGGGGTCCATAAATGAACACATACACCATGCAAAAAGACGCATCAAGAGTTAGGCGAATACATTTCCCTAACCTTGGGTTCGTTTCGCAGTTATCAGAAATTGTTAACGTTTTCATCCCCACCCTCCATGCCCCGATGACTCCACTGACCTTTGTTTTTCCCCCAGGTTCGCTAAACTTGTCGCACAACATGGTGCAGACCCTGGCCGTGGCTGGTGCCGTGGTGGTCGGGCTCGTTGGCGCCGCCGCCGTCCTCGCCCTGGTGCTGCCCATGTTCGGCATCCGCCTCTGTTACTTGCTGGGTACCTGCGACTCATACGCGGCGCACGCCTACCTTGCCCCGGCCGCCTACGACGCGTACGCCTACTCGCAGCCCGTGTACGCCAGCGCCGCCTACGCCAAGAGGTGAGTGGTTGCATGTGATGGGTTCTGTTTTGTCGCAGGCCACACCAATGACTCTCGTACCGCGCTGCAAAAGCGCGTAGACTTGCACTCTCGTCTTAGTTCCACGAATAATGTGTTAAACGTTGGTTTTGTTACGTCTGCAGCTATGACGGTGCCACCAACGAGCTCCCCTATTCCTACGAGGGCTACCCCCAGCACACGCCCCAGGTCGCCGCCTACCCCACCACCAACAGCGTCGCCGCCAACGCGTACCAGAAGAGGTAAACCGACCTTCCACCTATCGACCGTTCCGCACACTACTCTGTGTGTGCTCTGGGCTTACCTGATGTGCATCTTGTTCACCTGCAGGTCTCTTGAGTACGTTGGCCCCATCCTGAAGATGCTGAGCAACGCATACGAGAAGTACAACATTCCAGCTCAGACCAAGTCCATTGTGGAGAGCGGCAAGTCCAGCACCTCGGCCATTGACAGCAAAGCAGAGTAAGGGCGAGGACCACAACGCGATTGTAAATAATTAAGTTGAGAGTGAATGAGAGACAATCCCCCGCCAGAGCGGCCCTGTCAGTAATCCGTCCATACAGTATCGGCAACTGTCATTGGGAATTCCCCGTTCTACGCCTTCCTCCTTCTCACCGTCAGCGGCATATAAGAGGGGTGAGGGATAGCGGAGACATGTACAAAAATGCACTAAATTGTAAATTCCTCGTAATGTGATAGTTTTCTGGGAATTCCCCGTGGCTCTGGCGCTCCCATGGCGACACCCTACTGAGGTAGGAGAAAAAATGTTCTAAAGTAAATCAAATTGAAATTTACAAACTGTTTTGCAACAAAGTTTGCATGCTTAATGATGCGCGTGCTTGTCTGATGTCCACATGACTACTTGAGATATTTCTCATTGTGCCATTTTCGTTGTACTACGTTCGTTTCTGTACATTCGATCTGTTTCTTCCTTGGAAGACAGTAATATGTCGGGACTCAATGCTAATATGAGGGCGCTTTACGTGCCCAATCGTGTAACTGTATGTATACATTGTTGAGTAGTTTGTAGAGAGAAGTATAATTTTAATTATTCCTCGAAAAAGCCCTTCTCTGTTCTTTTGTACCGTAAATAGATATAACTGAAGTTTGTTTTTGCGGTAAACCTAGGGTAACTCCGTACAAGAGGCAATTGTATTTATAGGCTGTAAAATTAAG